AATTCCATAAATGATGAAGAAATTGAAATAGACGGATATAAAATCATACGCCATGATCGATCCTCTGGCTCTGGAGGTGGTGTATGTTTCTATATCAGAAATGATATTGCATTTAATATTATGGATGCTATAAGTACTGGAGATACGGAATCCCTGTGGATAAATTTGCTTATACCAAGATCAAAACCAATTGTTGTTGGTGTTCTGTATCGACCTCCGAAAAACAATTTGTTTATCGAGAAATTGTCCAATATTCTTGATACATTAAAGAAGGATGACGAAATAATTCTTTTAGGAGACATGAATATTTGTCTTCTTCGCAAATCGCCACTGGCTAAAAAATATATTGACTTGTTGAGTCTTCATGGGTTTAGTCAACTCATTAAAGAGGCAACACGCGTTACACCTACATGTTCTTCTCTATTGGATCATGTTGGTTGTACCAAAGAAAATAAAATAAGTCAAAGTGGTGTCATTGATCTAGGTATTAGCGACCATTATTTTACTTTCTGTACACGGAAAAATGTTAGACTGGCTATAGGTCATCACAGGACTAATGATATCAGATCCATGAAAAAATATACAGAAGAGTCTTTCAATCTTCAACTATCTGTTGTTGATTGGTCACGAATAACTGACTGTACAGATGTAAATGAGGCATGGTCAATATTTCAACATGTTTTTATCTCAAATTTGAATATGATAGCGCCACTGAAACGGATAAGAATAAAACAAAGATCAGAAACTTGGGTGACTAAAGATATTCTTTCCCTAATTCAAGAGAGAAATATAGTATACAAAAAATGGAGGAAAAGAGCAAAAGATGAGAAGCTCTATAAAAGATACAGAGTATTAAGAAATATGGTCCAAAGAGAGGTGAAAAAGGCTAAACTCGATTACTTACAAAACAAGATAGAAGAAAATAAACAAGATTCGAAAAAACTTTGGCAGAATCTAAAAAGCTTAGGATTGAAAAATAAGAAGCGAAAAGAACAAGAATCTGTCATTAAAATTGATGGGGAATTATGTCATGATATAAGATGGCCATCGCTGATGAATTCAATTCTCATTTCACAAATGTGGCTGCCAAATTAGTAGACAAACTCCCCCCTTCCAAAGACTTTTTCAGCGCAGACAATGATTGTATTCGTGACTTTTACGAAAGAAAAGGTGTACGTGAAAACAGCTTCGAGTTATTACCAATCAGTGAACAATTTGTTTTCAAAGAGTTACGTAAGTTGAATGTATCAAAAAGTACTGGGTTAGACTTGATTCCAGCTAAATTTCTAAAAGATGGTGCGAAGGTTTTATTTAAGCCTCTAAGTTACTTAATGAACCTATCTATCTTGACGAGTACTTTTCCAGAAGATATGAAAATAGCAAAAGTGACTCCACTTTATAAAAAGAAAGATAAAACTGATGTTAGCAACTATAGACCTATTAGTGTTTTAAGCGTAGCATCAAAGATTCTAGAAAAATCGGTCTGTGTTCAAATTGAAAGATACTTCAAAGAAAATGATATAATTTATGAATTTCAATCTGGTTTTCGACATGATTATTCGACTGAAACATGTCTAATTCATTTGACTGATTATTTGAGGAGAGAAACTTCCCAAGGACGCTTTGTTGGTATGGTGCTCCTTGATCTGCAAAAAGCTTTTGATACAGTTAATCATTGCGTCTTATTGAAGAAGTTACAACTAATGGGTTTTGATAAGGCAAGTTTAGATTGGTTCAGATCCTACTTATCTAATCGGCACCAAGTAGTGGCCATTCATGATATTCGTTCCAAACTAATGCCTATAACATGCGGTGTTCCTCAGGGAAGTATTTTAGGCCCAATTCTATTTTCAAGTTATATAAATGATATGTGTATTTGTATAAAAGACTTCAAACTATTATTGTACGCAGATGACAGCGTACTACTCTATTCAAATCCTGATCCTAAATATATTGAGGAAAAGCTCAGTGAACAGCTGTCTACGTGTGTCGATTGGATGACTGATAATAAGCTTTCTTTACACTTGGGAAAAACAGAAAGCATTTTATTTTGTTCTAAAAGTAGTTCTAAAAAGTCATTTGAATTCAAAGTGACACACAATAATCAAGCAATCAAGAGAAAAGAGTCTGTGAAGTATTTAGGCATTGAGTTGGCTAGCGCAATTTCATTTTCATCTTTAGTAGAATCAGTTGTAAAAAAAGCAAATTCTCGTCTGAAATTTTTGTACAGATATCAAAGTTGTATGGATTTAAAAGCAAGACGTACACTCTGTTTTGCTCTTATTCAATGTTTATTTGACTATGCTAACCCTGCATGGTACAGTAACATAAACAAGTCAGATCAAAAGAAGTTGAAGATTATACAGAACAAAATGGTGAGATTTATCAACTGTTCTGGTCCAAGAACTCATGTTGGCTATAGCGAACTTTCTAAAGCTGGTTTTCTTGAAGTCGACCAAAGATCAAAACAACTCGCATTGCATCACGTGCATAAAATATATCATACTAGGGCGAATCATTATATTCGATCCAACTTCGATCTTGTTACTGCCGTACATGATTATAATACAAGAAATAGACGATTCAACTTTAACTTACCAGAAAGAGTAGGTAGTATTGGAAATTCGTTTTATTACAATGCCATAAAACATTGGAATTCCCTTCCCAATGGTGTAAAAGAAATAGGAAACTATGATCATTTTAAGAGGAAATTAAAGGAATACCTAATACTTGACAGTCAGAGAAGAGAAGTGAATGACATGTTATATGATTGAAATTGTTATTCTTCTGTCGGTTCATACTTTTTCATGTTGTATATACTTATGTTTTCGTACGTTATAGAAATTCTACAAATTCATCATTATTTTCCTCTTCTTCCTTCTCCTCTTTTTCTTCTTCTCCTTCTTCTTTTTCTTCTTGTACTTAATATCATTTCTATCATCAGTTTAATGTTGTTATTATTATCTTTAATAAGTAGTTCTTTTAATTTTCTTATCTGTCTGTAAATATTACTATTTTAATTTATTAATTGTATACATGTCTGTAAGGGACCCCACTGGAAATAAGCTCTCGAGCTTTCGTGGGTTATCCTGTTCAAGCTGACTTATTTTTGATCTGTTATTATTGTATATTGTTGTATATTGGAAGCTTGTCGAATAAAAATCAATCAAGTTAATATACGCAGGACCCAATAATTGATGTGCGCAGTTGTCTTTCATTCACACGTTAACTGCGTCATACCTGAAAGCGCCCTGAATTTTCTACCATAAGGTTACTCCATTTGCTTACAGAAACATTGTAGCTTGCTTGTGTTTCAGCATCCAGTGGGGTGTTAGAGAGGCCGCTTTATGAGAGATAGACTCCATTGGTTCCCACGAGGTCTAAGGTGAAAATGGAGTTGTCATTCAACAGATAGCTCAAGCCGGCTTCTTCATCCTATGAGAACAAAAATGAGAAAAGGAGACATTATATTTATATAATATTGGATCGATGGCCTGAGTGGGATGCAAGCTCCTACAAACTTTCTTTGCCTCTCTGACTTGGTGCATTTATTTTGCACGAAACAATAGGCACCGATTGATGTAGGCCTAAGGATTGCATTGTGCAGTACATTGGATTTGCAAAATTAGCTATTTCCAGTCTTGATTAGCTCCATGACCATGACAACCCTTTTAACATCTGTATGAACTCAATCTTGAATTGGAGACAGTTATAAAAGTTTGAAGCTTTTGGTATATATATCTGGCACATGCAGGGATATTATTTCTGTAGTTTAAAAGAGTAAAAGGGGAAGTCCATCCTGATATTAGGTTGGTTTAAATAAAAGCAGAAAAATGAGAGAAACAAATAAGTGAAAGTTTGAGCGATTTCCGTCTAAAATTAGGAAAGTTATGATTTTCTGAAGTTGTCATCAGTGAAACACAGATTGGCAACACTGAGACGTATCTTGCGAGGTCTGATCCAATTTGCTGGGTACAGAAAATTTCATAAACTTTCTTTTTCTTCGTCATCAATGACAAAATGTATATGTTTTTTTACAGGGGATGTATAAAAATGTATTTGCAATTGCTATAATTGAAAATCTTTTTAAGGGAAAACGTCCATTTTAGACTTTTTGTTTAAAGTACAGGGCTAAATGTTAGGGGACCTCGTAAAATACGTCACAGATTTGTGTTTGATTGAATGCACCTTCAAAAATTCATAACTTTTTATCAGTGTTTGCTCTAACTTTCACTGACCTGTTTCTCTCATTTTTCTGCTTTTATTAAAGCAACTTGCTATCAGTGTGGATTTCCCCTTTAATATTCAGTCTTGATAATAATTACCTGATCCAGATCCGGGTCTGTTGCTTGGATGAGCAGAGGAACGATACCGTTCGAGTCAGCTGTTACTCGAGTTCCCGCAATAAAATTCTCAGAGATATAACCAATCATTGTTGTACTTGGGAAAGTTGGCTGGAAATCATTGATGGGCGTTACCTCGATGATCACGGTCGCAGTGCTGCTGCTTGAACCTTTGGTGGCCTTCGAGGGGAGTAAAATCAAAGATTTATTAACCCATAGATAGCAGTTTAGAGTTAATTTGCTTAGATCTCAATAAACTAGCTTTTCCTCCTCAAATTTACACTAATTAATTAAATTTTTCACTTGTATATACATGTAGTTTTTAAAAGTATATATATTGAATTAACCAGTGTACACACTATTACAATTATTTTAATTTCCTACTTGTATATACATAGTTTTAAAAAATATATATATATACCGGTAGATATTGAATTAACCAATGTGTACACACTATTAACAATTATTTAATTTCCCACTTGTATATACATAGTTTTAAAATATATATATATACCGGTATATTGAATTAACCAGTGTGTACACACACAAAAAAAATCAAATAGCATTGCCAATTTAAATCATCAATCTGTGATTATGTAAATGTTCACTTACTGCGACAGATATGACAAAGACGTCATACTCGGATCGGCGGACTTGTTGAAGAAGATTTATCTGCCCCGTAGTAGGGTTGATAGAGAAGAAAGAAGAATATACTTACTGCGACAGATATGACAAAGACGTCATACTCGGATCGGCGGACTTGTTGAAGAAGATTTATCTGCCCCGTAGTAGGGTTGATAGAGAAGAAAGAAGAATATACTTACTGCGACAGATATGACAAAGACGTCATACTCGGATCGGCGGAATTGTTGAAGAAGGTTTATCTGCCCCGTAGTAGGGTTGATAGAGAAGAAAGAAGAATATACTTACTGCGACAGATATGACAAAGACGTCATACTCGGATCGGCGGAATTGTTGAAGAAGGTTTATCTGCCCCGTATAGTAGGGTTGATAGAGAAGAAAGAAGAATACTGCGGAGGTTGCCCTGATATAGACATACAAAGAGCAAAATATGTGATGTTGATCGTGTTTACTGATTGTACAACATACGCTACAGCGGCAAATGGTTGAGCAGTCATTTTGTAACACTGATCCAGATCATGTACCAATAAATGATTTATTGGGTAAAGGCGCCATTGTGTATATACTGATTGTAATCAGCTACCATGCAATGCACGGCAGCGATTGGTCTTAAATTATCTGCACGTGTGTGATACAGCTAGTGGATTTCCTGTAAGAAAGGCAACCGGGATGTTCTACTATTTTTACAAGCTCCAAAGTCACTGCTGTCAACATGAATAGTGGAGGAAAACCTAGAGTCTACATAACTCGTAGGATTCCCAAAGAGGGTCTTGATTTACTCTCGAAAGCGTGAGTACATGCATGCTACTGAATCTTTACAAATTAGATTCGGTTGATCGCGTTTTCTTCCACTTGCCCGTATACCGTACGCGTGAGTGGTATCTGTGCAGCACCTGTCGGTGATCGGCCAGCACAGGCCGCCCGCCCGCCACGCAAGCGTATCGCTGTATGATGATGGGGGTGATTAAATGTCGAACTTCGTAGACATTTTACTAACATGATTAAAGTCTTTTGATATTGGACATATTTGATCCACGATTTTTCGATGTCTGTTGAGTCTTGCACAATTATATTAACATCTCAAAAGATGAACAATTCCAATTTTAAACCATTCTGATGAAACTATAGAAATTTAATTTCCAAAAGTATTTTCAGTTGGACTCGAGATTCAGAGTTCAGACTCGGTCATTTGAATCAATCGCCATGATTATACTGGATTATATAGACCCTAGTCCTAGATCTACATGTAATATTGATCAGTATGGTAGAGCAGCGCTCAAAATACACGGGGGCGATGGGCGATTCGCCGGCCCCTGTGAGCTCCATAATCGCCCCCGTCAGGTTGCTCACGGGGGCGATTGAAAAATTAAAAATCGCCCCCGTGGAATTATAAAATAAAGATTATCTTTTCTGATATAACTTTAACACAATATTGAGTATCAATTTTCAAACCTTAAACCAATGACATGGAACTTAGATGGCGCTTTCTCTCCCATCTCTATGAGTATTACCGATACAAACAACGGAAGCTCGCAGTGGCTATACTGCGCCGGTAGTACCGGTGTGCACGCTGACGCCCAATATCTGCTGGAGCTGGAGACGATCGCGTAAGGACTGAAACATGGAGAAGTTTTTTGTTGTGAAAAGTGTGAATCCTCTGAAATCTGGTTATTCTAAAAGGCCAGCAAATAATGTAACTCGACCAGTAAATCAATATTGAGAAGAAGATCACCAAAGATGTTGCAGGGGCGGATCTAGGCGGTTTAGGGGGTTTAACCCCCCTCCCCCCTTGGGCTGCCAAGTGAAAATGTGATGTGCATAGAAAATGCTATCGTGTGTTCACAGGGTGCTACAAGAATTTTTTTCACCACTTGCCCTGTCGGGCAAGTGGGTTTTCAATTTACTTGCCCAAACAATATTTCCACTTGCCCAAAACTTTAAAGCGAAAAAGGACTCGAGGTTAAAGCATTTATTATCTCGTAATGATAAGTTAGTGTTTTAGATAGCAAATTAATGCACATACATGTACAGTGTAACTGTACTGAATAATAACCTAATATGTCAAAGAAAATGGTCAACAAAGGATGGTTGAAGGTTTAAAAAACGCATTTTATTGATTCTCCATAAATAATCAGATTCACATGAATCTCGGCAAGGTAGAATGGTTCAAGCAGGTTTAAGTTTTTAATATTCAGTCATGTATATCATGCCAAAATTTGTAAATTCTTACTAAACTAGACTAAACAACGTCGCTAAAACCATGAAAACAAAACAACAACGGCTTATATTCTGGGGGTCTCGATACTATTATCAAAATGACTCGCTCGGTCGGATCTTTAGACCGCAGTAATAAATTGAAAACGAGACAAAAACATTCATCTGATTTATATGAGCAGCGAGTTTTAAATAATATGTTCACAATCATTAACAGTCATTATGAATAAATATCAAACATTTGACTTTTTGTACTTACTAGAAAATCCCTGTTGTTTATTCCATTCCGATTCGCACGTGTTCATTTCCCTAGAATAATGACGTCATATTTGGCGTGATTCAACCAATCGGCAATCAGAGAATAGCAAAGGCCTGTCGGTGCGGCCTGCAGAGCTAGAGAGAGAGAGCGCGAATAAGCTCGCAGCTGGTACGATCGCGCTAGCTGTCTCTAGCTAGCTCACGGCCGGCCGTGCGTGGAGGCGGAGCGGCATTCATGGCTTGAAGTGTCACTGTTGCATGCGCGCTGAGCTAGCTGAGCTGGCTAGCTGTCTGTGAAGTTTTTTCGAAATCGGAACGATCGCTTTTTTGCTTCTGGATTTTGACGACGGGTAAGAAGTTGACGGGTGAATGGTAGAGTTCTTGGACACTAGGAAATTACTGTAAAAGTATCACTTGCCCGAATCGGGCAAGTGATAATTTGATTTACTTGCCCGACGGCTCAATTTGGTTGCCCCGGGACGTCGGGCAAGCGGGTTTGTCGCGCCCTGGTTCAGACCTACACAGTATTAGTAGATGTTTATAGATGCCAGGAAAACATCTTTTACGGGGGTTCAAAATAGCAACAACGAAAATCGCCTCGCCACTATGCGGCTCGTGGACGATGCTCCACATCGTATTTGGGTTACCCCCACCCTTAGCAAAAAGTGAGATCCGCCTCTGTGTTTTGAAAGGATATGGTAAAGACTAAAAGTAAAGAAAGAATGTAAATAAGGTTGCTCTGAATAATTAATAAGTAAATTTCTAAGAGGGAAATTGTCATTTTAAATAAATGATAATGATAAAATACCAAGGAATTTAGGAGTTTCATGGGTACCAATTCAATGGAAATTTGTATTAAAATAAGAGCCCCCATCAGCACTAAAAGAACCTCCGTGAGAAGGCTCATGGGGGCTCTTTTTTTGGAAGAGCCCCCGTGGACAAAAAATTAATTTGAGCCCTGGTAGTGACAATAATAATGGTAGCATTATTTATTTTAAACTATCATCAACAATGATATGATAATGATTATGATAATGATAATGGTAATGGTGATGATACAGATAATGGTGATGATGATAATAATGATAATGATGGTGATAATGATAATGATAATGTAAATGTAAATGTAATTACAAATTTAAAAGTAAATGTAAAAGAAAATGTAAATGTAAATGTAAAAGAAAATGTAAATGTAATTGAAAGGTATTAAATGTAAATGTAATTGAAAGGTAAATGTAAATGCAAATGTAAATGATAATGAAAATGATAATGATATTCACAGTGACAAGTGGTAATTTATAATGGTATTAACAAGATAAACGTGCGTACATTTCCAGCCATAGTGATGCTCAAGGGATTAATTTATCTATCAAAAAGGGAAAAAAAAGGTATAAAGTAAAGAACTAACAAGATAGATAGCTTGATAGATAGACGTTTAACAAAAATTAAAGAAAGGAATACAGTGCATCCCAGAAAAAACGAAACCGAGAATTTTGATGTTTTATCATAACTTAATCACAATTATAATTGATAAATGACACATATTTGAAAAGCTTAGATCCTCCTCTTTCATTTGATGCAACTCATATAATGCATATTTCACGCATGAGTGATTAAAACCAATTTGAAGAGAGGAAAACAATAAGTCACTTGGCGGACGATATCTGAATTTCAAAGAGAAAATCACATTTCTAGAAAGTTGAGTTTCTGCCCTTTCATATGACACATCAATCAGGAAAAATGAGCTAGGAATAACAAAGTTCTGTTTGTTTAAAGTAGTGCTTGCATTTCCATAATTGTTTTAAACGAATTCGTTTTCACTGGCTGCCTGCCGTATCAACAAACGAAATTAACAAAAGACTTGACTCCGTTTCGTTGACAATCAGCCGTAGACGAAAGGTTTCCTCTCTTCAAATTGTATAGTAACATGTAGACAGAAATCATACACTGCGAATTCGTTGTGTAACGACTTTACACAACATAGGGTGGTTCACTCCTTACACAGGGGTTGTGTTAAGTTGTGTAAATAAAAATTACACAACTTTACACTGCAAATTTGTTGTGTAAAGTTGTGTAATGTTTTATTACACGACTTAACACAACCCGTGTTTAAGGAGTGAACCACCCAATGTTGTGTAAAGTCGTTACACAACGAATTTGCAGTGCACACACATGTAAATCTGAGATTGTTCATTAATATTATGTTATTAAATACAGTTTGCAGAATCATCAGTAAATAACTATGTTTAGCATTTACAGTCTAAAAAAAATGGTTCCATAAATTAATATATCTGTGTTTGGATCAAGCAAAAAAATGCGTTTCCGGAAGCGAGAAAAAAAATATGGAAAGAGGGGAAGGTCGAAATCTGTTTACATGCAATACTTTTAGTGCACCACGAGGACAACTATATTATGTCAAAGTCATGTTAATCCAGATAAGGTTATTCGAGGAATAAACTTTCAGATTCATATTTAAATCCCAATAAATAATATGTAGTCAAAATTAGATATAGTAACTAAGGTACAATCGACATGTCTACGGGTGCTTCCACTAAACGACATGACTTGAAAAAATAATATGAATGGATATATATGTAATGTTATAGATTAATCATAGTAAATTATAAGTTATTACCATGGAAATAGGTAGTTTGTTCTCTTCCTACTTGTATTTCTTCTCTCTTCTCTCTCCCTTTCCCCTTTCCTAATCTTTCGTAAGTACATCTATATCTACCTAAGATAATAATGATAAGATAGAATGAAATAATTAAAGGTACATTTTGTTGTTTACAAAAAGATCCCTTTCCCTATATAAGGCCGATTACATGCTATTTGCTAGATTCCATCTCTCACACAGGTAATTCCTAATTTGGAAGTCCTAGTTTATGGCCCATATATGGTTCCAATTAATATTCTTGAAATGTGTTATGGAAGTATGAACACAATCGACTTAAAAATACAGTTTTATTTGATGTTTTGTCTGACCCAAACGCTTTTGGGAACAAAATAGCAAAGACTTTCGAAAAAGGCAATTCCAATGGCCTAGCCCTCACCTATTGACATTTTCGAGCATTACAATGATGTATTACGTAATCTGAACATGATTCCTATGGAATTTACAATAGGGTATTGAAATTGCCCTTGAGTTGAATTCTCAAAAGTCCTTTGCGATCATGTTTAGGGCTGTAAACTTCATACAGTCATCATATAAACAGAAACGTTGATGTGCATGGTCGGTAACATTGTATAGGACAAGATTACTTGGACTTGACATCACCTGTGCGAGGTGGGGCATGCTATTTGGTAGCTTAAAATAA